CGATAGCAGGCAGGAGGCAGCAGCGGTCGTCGACGCGGCGCCACCGCCGCTTCCACATGTCAATATGCCCCACGGGGAGTCGAACGCCATATAAGCTCGTGGAGGCCGGGCCACGGGCGGACTCTGGAGCGGGGAGAGGTGAGAGGTTGCAGCGCCCCCCGTGCCCTCTATCGCAGCAGCAGGAGGAGGAGGAGGAGGAGGAGGAGGAGGGAGGAGGAGGAGGAGGAGGAGAAGGGAGGACGGAGGAGGGAGGAGGGCCCCCCAGGCGCCGGAAGTGAAAAGCGAGGCACGCATGGGCGCGACCAGGTACAGCGCGATCATGCTCGCGAGCGCTGGGCCACCCCAGTCGCCCATTCGAATCCAGTCCGCGTGCTCCAGCCGAGATTGCGGCGCATGGAATACCTGGGAAAACAATGCGGACCCGCTGCTTTCATGGTAGCAGGGAGGACGGCGAATGACGGTGTATGCGCGCAAATCCTGAGGCCGCGGATCGCCATCGCCATGGCGGCGTCGTCAGCGCAAGCCCTAGTTTTGCCTCTGCGCGGGGTCTCCAGCACTGCCCGCGACGCATGAAACAAACAGTGCCCACCGCCGCAGAAAGCAAGAGCCCAGACCCAGGGCGCCTCTGGATAATGCCATTCAAGACAACGAAAAGCGGCGCCAGAGAACCGCCAAGAGTACCCCAACACTGCGCGCCCCTACACGGGATCTTCAGGCAGACCTTCAGAGGCTAGGGGATCAACGTAAAGGAGATAAACGTCAACATCCACGCCTGGAAGACCGAAGGATAAGCGCCACCGATGTGCGAGCAAGCGGGCGCAGGTTCCTTTCGGGGGGCCTCGAGACTGAATGCCCTGGAGTACACGTCGAGCTCGATGACGTTGTTTCCGAAGTTCCGTCCCCGAGCGAATCCCCGCTAAATCCCGTCGAGACCTTCGGCATCTGATATTGTTGCCCGTGTTTTCGGGTCCAGGAAAGCGGGTTGCCGAGGCCCCCCCTCGCGGCCCCGTCGGAGTCCCTGGGGGGATTTACTTTCAGCGCAAAGAAACCAAGGGCGCGGCTGTACTCAGGCGAGAACACCTTGCCACTCAGCACGTGCATGATACTAGCGCGCAAGGCATCCGCGCCGCGCGGTGCCCAGGCAGCGTAGGGCTGCCGGTTAGGCCCTGGGGCGGAGTGCTGCACGCGGCCTACCGCGGTCTTTGCAGAATCGGGCGCGGGTGGGGGGGTGTCCCGAGCCTGCGCGCGCGGGGCGTCGCCTCAAAAACTCCGTCGCCTTCGCAGCGTCGAAGGGCTTCTGCGCAGAAATCGAGCCCCAGTGGCCGACTGAGACGGCCATAGTCTGCTCGGGTGCGGAAGCAACTTGGCCGTCGCTATCCCGAGTTCCAGACAGGTAAACGCGATTGTCACATTGGCCCCGCAAAGCTTCCCTCCTCCTCATCCTTCCCATGCGTTCCCGCAGGCGCTGTCGTTTGTGATGAGATGGTTCCTGAATGGCAGCCCGAGCGACGCGGTTCCTACCTTGCGCAGCGACCGAGCGGTGAAGTTCAGCAGAAAGACGAGCACACGCATCTGGGCCCAACAGAGAGACTTCCTGCCTGGCGACGAGGCTGCGGGGGCGTCGCAGCCCCTCTGCAAAGGCGATGCCCCCGCGGAAGAAAGCGCGGGATGCACTGCGCACTGCCAAGCAACGCGCGGACAACTTGAAATGCCTCGGGAATCCCAATCCCCTCGCCCCCTTTTGAGCATGGGTTCAAAAAAGCCTGGAAGGTACGCGAGAAGGACAAGGCGAGGTTGGAGTGGTGGAGGAAGTCCTGATTTCTGCCACCGCGCCGCGCACCTCTTGCACGGCCACAGTCGCGCAAGGACGGAGAGGCCTTCCCGAAACGTGAAGACTTGCGCATTCGATCTGCAGCGTCAAAATGACACAGCGCGGCTGCATTCCAAGCTACAGCTCAGACAGGGTGGGGCCTCCACCCAATAAGGTGGTGTGGAAACTGTTGCCGACTCCACTCTGGAGCACCTCCACCCGTGCGCAAGGCAATGAGAAGCCTACGCTCGTCGAGGTCCCTCTCGGCGCCGCCCGACTGCATGTTGGCCAGCGCGTGCATGGCCTCTTGGGTCTCCTTCTCAGGCGCAGGGCGGAGCTGGATGAACTGCTTCCAAGTCGTAGACACACCGAACCATCCTGCTTGTCGGCGTAAGAGGTGAGATGGGGATGCACTTGCGGCAAAACCTGCTTCGCCCGCTTGCGCGCAATCTCCCTCTGGATCTGCTTCGCGTCCCTGTCGGGCCCCACGTGCACCTCGCATGTTCCACAAGCCACTGAGAGTCCGTGGAACTGGCGCCATTGACCACCTCGTTGTGTCGGGCGAACGATCGTAAAAAGGCATACACATATCGCCGGCTGGCAAATCCGATAGCGCCCTGGAGGCGCACAACGAAGCGCTTGGACGTCGGGTCTCCCTCCAGCTTCCACCCGCCATCAAGAACACTGGTCTCGCGCGTCCAAGGCTCCATGACGTTGAACACATTATGCTTCGACGTGCGGTCGATGCACCGCGCGACGATGATGTACGGGTCAGTCTCCCCCGACTGCGCCGTACCAGGACCAGCACGGATGACAGGGACAGGCGTCGACGCTCTGGCAATGCCCAACTCACGTACTATGCCTCAACGAAATCGTTGTACATCAGCAGTCGCCTGGCTTTGCAAGCTTTGACCTCGGAGAAGTTGGTGCCGATAGCGGATGTGATAGCCGAGCATGAAGACGAGGCAGCAGTGGCCACGGTGCTGAGCTTCGTGTTGACCGAGTTCTGGACCGCATCAACCTTGAGGCCGAGTTCGGCATGGATCTTGTCAACGTACCCTCTGGGATCTGCCGTGGGTGCTGTCGATGATGCTCACGATGGTCTGGTTTTAGTTCCAGCAGGGGCAGGAGAGCCATTCAAGTTCTCGACGGCCTGTCTCTTCGGGGCCCCCACGCCGCCAATTCCTGCACGTTCGGGCATCGTGCTTCGCGCGGAGAGGGGCGCCCACAAGCACATAGACACGGCTGTGAAAAGGCCGCGGAAGGAACGGGACGAGTGGGGAGGGGTACGAGGCGCTGTTCTTCGGGAGGCCGGCCTGGGCCTCTCCCCCTCGGCAGCGGGCAAACATGGGCCCCCAGGGTGCAGGGCCTGAACTTGAGCCACAGTGGCTACGGACCTCCTCCTCCTCCTCCTGACCTTCCCCGCCACCCTCCCCCAAGTATTCCCCGAAGGGTTTCCACAACGGCCGGGGGGGGCTCCCCAAGAATGCGCCCAGAGGCTCCCAAGATGCCCCTCCCTCCTCATCCTCCTCATCCTCCTCCTGATATTCCCCGCCATCCTCCCCCATGTGTGCCCCGAAGGGTTTCCAAAACGGCTGGGGGAACACATGGTGCGACAGCCGACAGCTTGGCAGAGCTCTTGCCACAACGCTCGGCCACATGAGCGACTCCAGAAGGCAGAGGGCGGCGGTGATTCGCCGTGGGCGTCTTCGATCAGCCGCCCCCTCGTTGGTCTTTTCAAGGGTGCCTGGCGTGCTAGACGTCAGCAAAATTCTTGGCACAGCGCGCCGGTCACCAGGAAGACCCGGTTGCCAAGGTTTTTCCTGCTCCATATGGCTCCAAGATGGCCTCCAAGACAGCCAACATGGCCCTCAAGTTCGCTCAAGATGGTCCAAGATGGCCTCCCAGAAGGCCCAAGAGTGTCAGAGATGTCTCCAAATCTGCCCGAGAAGCCTCCAAGACAGCCCCAGAGGCCCCCAAGAGGCCTTCAAGACGGTCCAAGAGGCCTCCAAAAGGGCCTTCAGGAAGACCCGCAGAGGCCAATGTGATTGCTTGTTCCAAGGTTGTTGAAGGAATTCTGCATTTGCATCTCCTTCCGACGGCCTCAGCCGGCCCAAGAGGCTCCCACGATCACCCCAAGGTGGCCCCAGAGGCCTCCAAGATGGCCCCAGGACTGCCCAAGAGGCCTCCAAGACCTGCCCCGAGGGCCCCAAGACAGCCCAAGAGGCCTCGAAGACGCCCAAGATGGCCCCCAAGACGGCAGAGAAGAGCCACAAGAGGGCTCCAAGTCGGTTCAGAGAGGCCTCCAAGACTGCTTCCGACGGCGTCAGCCGGGCCAGGAACGCCCGAAGACGCCAACGCGGCCCCGAACAGGCCCACAAAGGCTCCCAATGAGGCCCAGGGAGGCCCCCCAAGAGGCCTCCAAGGGGCACCCGGGAAGCTCACAGGTCATCATCATCATCATCATCATCATCATCATCATCATCATCATCATCATCATCATCATCATCATCATCATCATAACCCCAAGAGTGCCCCACGAGGCTCCTCCTACTCCCTTTTCATTATGATCCTCATGATCCTCCTCCTCCTCACGTGTTCCCCGAAAGGCCTCAACGACAGCTGGGAGGACACATGGTCCGATAGCAATAGCCCCATCTTCGACAACATAGGCGCTTGGACGTAGGCGTCTTCGATAACACGAACGAGTCCACGTTCTCACCACACCTGCTTTAGTGGGAGCGGCCGCATACCCACCTCCCGCCACCGGATGGGAAGGTGCGAAGCCCTTTGTGAGCAGGACAATGTTGGCACGAATGCGTCCTTCAAGCCTTCGAGGATCCAGGCACCATGCGCCTGTCCGAAGGTTCAGGGGAGGTGCCACGCCTCCGCGCGACCTCCGCGCGACGTGCAAAACACGTCGAGCTCAATTCTCTCAGAAACGCCGAGCGACGACGACGGCGGAGACCAGACCCTGCGGGCCCTGCTCCGAGCCTCCCACCACCACCGCCCTGCCTCCGCTGCCCCCGAGGATAGGAGGCTCGATCGAGCATCGAAGATCGAGGACTCCTCCGTCCTCCGTCCTCCTCCTCCTCCTCCCCCTCCTCCTCCTCCTCCTCCTCCTCCTCCTCCTCCTCCGCCCCTGAGACGGGCAGGGCGCGGCGCGGCCACCCCCGCGCCCCCGCAGGTCCTTGGGTCTCCACGGCTCCTCTCGGAGCTTGAAGGCCATCCGCCGGCCGGCCCGGGGCTCGCAAGGGAGGGCGCCGCAGGGCGGCTCAGGGAAGGCCCGGAGAGGGGCTGTCACAGAGCACCCGGAAACCAAGGCCCAGGATACAAATGAAGACCACACGCAGTGAACCATACGCTGCGCTCATGAAAAGCGGACGTACGCCGCAAACGGAAAGCATCCACGTGACAAACATGAACACACATACGTCTAGAATTTAATTACCTACATACACATCGGCATACTCATCATGGCACACGACACTAGACTCTATCGCGCATGAGAACCACACACAGCTCATGCGCGATGAAGAAAATTCATGGTACATTATAGTTGAACAGTCCACAGCGGCTAGACATAACCAACTGCACAACACGCCACACTATAGCGACACACACACATGGCAGAGTTGGAAACCAGTCGCAGCAGCCCCCTCATGGGGGCCCAAGACGACTTGATGATCACCACGATCGTCATTCCACTCCACGTCGCTCCCCCTCTCTCTCTCCCTCCGAAGCCCGACCTCCTCGCCTTGCCCGTGGGGCCGTGGGAGACCGTCGCCCCCTCTGGGCACATCCTGGAGCCTGCCCCTGCGCGTCTCCCTCGGCGCCCTGCCGAGGCAGTGCCCCCCCGCCGCCGCCGCGGGCGGCGGCGCTGCCGCGCCGCCGTGGGCCGCACCCCTGCGCGGCAGCGGCCAGAGCCGAGACGGCCGCGAAGTCTTTGCGGACTCGCTCGCGCGCCCACGGGCGACGGGACGGTCGGCCGGCGCGCCGCTGGATTGAAGGGGCCCTGGGACACACAAAGAAGTACACACAACTAACAGGATTCCCCACATGTTCATATATTTTCTGGGTTTTTGTCTTCCCCCCCCACTTCCCACAGTTTCCCATCTTTCTGGGGAATCGACGATTCATTGTGTCTGTGTGTTTTTGTCCCCTCCTGATTGATCCTTGCCCGACTCGCAAGGAAGAGGGGTAATTTGACGGCCGCTGCGGCGGAGCAGAACGTGGCGGTCATGTCTCGAGGTTACCCAGTCGTGTCTCGTCGACTGCTCAGCCGCTTGCGAAACAAACAACGACAAAGCGAGCGAGGAAGCCGTCGCCTGGTGATGCAAAACTAATCGATGAAAGTTCGAGTAACGGAACAGTATAGCCAAGTGCTACATGTACCAAGATGTTCTGGATCACGCTCAACTGCCCGGCACACGTATATTTGTGCCGACCTAGCCGCAGTGTATCTGACATACGCTTCAGTACGCGACTGGTTCCACAACTTTGGCACTGTAGCTTGAGACCTTTTCGGGCTCGATGTGAGACCTCCCAGACCAGCTCCAACTGCCAAGTGAGCATTGCCCTTGACACGCCGACCACGCAAAGGACCTATGACCGTAAGGGGCGACGAAAGGCCAAGGGGCCCAAGAGCTACCAGTCACTGGCGGTGAGTCCCCGGGTCGGCCATCGCGCGTCATCCTTCATTTGAGAACCGCGAGAAGCCAGAGGGCCACGGGTCGCGAGCCACCAGATCAACTCTGTGAGATAGACCCCCACACTGGAGCCACGAGTGGCCACAGGCCATGGGTCATAGGCCAGAACTCGCCTCTCGAGCCGCATCCCCCACACGACGGCCACGCACGAGAAGCCATAAAGTCACGCACCATGAAGGACGATGAGCAACCACAGGGCCACGGGCCCACCCTGCAACCTACGTAGAGCCGCAAGTGGCCACGGGGCCAAGGATCACGGAGCTCAGGCCGATGAGGACCGTGCTGGCATGGACCGCGACCGCCGTACGGTTCTTGATGCTCACCCTTGCCACAAGGCCCATGGGGCGAAGGCTCCCAGGCCACCAGACCGACTCTTGACGCTCAGCCTCCATACGAGAGCCAACGAAGAGTTCCGCGAGGCCGCAAAGAGCTTCGGGCCGCGAGCAGCCGAATCGACTCTCGAGCACACCCACTGCCAGGAGTGGCAACGGGCCATCGACTGAACTCTTTCGCCTCACCTTCCGCATAGGAGCCACGGGACTTTGGGCCACGAGCCACCGAATCGACGCTTGAGCCTCACCTTTGTCACGAGGTGTGGGGGGCAACGACCACGAGCTGCCGAACCGGCTCGGGATGCCCGCCCTTCAGAGATGGAACGACTGCACCAGACTCCCGTGTGGTGAGCCATCGGGTGACAGATGTTTGCTCTCATGTCATACTCGCACGCGGTACACGAACCATCGACTGGAACATTGGGCCGTTCACTAGATCGGGGCAGGAGAACCACAGGGGAAGTAAACACAAGAGCAAATCCTGAAGCTGCTATGGGCTCTCCCGACTCTTTACCAACAACCGCCAGTGGCCAAGGGATCCAGACCGCGGGACGAAGAACGAGCTGGGCATTGGCCTGCGCCAGGGAGCGGGGAGGATGGCGGATGGACCTTAGTCGCATGCGCGCGCGCGGTCGGCACCATTGCTGCCTCCTCGCGCGCCCTCCAAGGACAGGCGGAATGGCCGGGGGACGCCTTCCAGCATCGCACCGTTGCCAGGTGCCCCCTCGCCCAGCATCGTCTGGTTGCCGATCTTGAAAGACAGCAGCGGGACGGACCTCGCGGGCCGGCAGGCCGAGAGCACTCGGCCCGAGCCGCAGCAGCCGGTGCCGAATGTGTTGAGGGCATCACGTTTCTAGTGCGTGGCACCACGAGCGACCTTCAAAAGGACCTCAAGACGCCATGGTGTAATCGAGATGTGGACGTTTGTGGGAAGCCGCCGACTCTGTATGCGCATGCCATCGCTGCAGAGCGCTGGTCGAGTGCTCGAAATCTGCCGATCCAAGGCCGTCCCAAACTGCCCTGCTCTCACGCTTCTTTGACATGCTCGGGCAGTGCGGCGTCCATTTCCGTTTGCCCTGGACACCGGTATCATCGGGAAACCAACGTTCAACGTACCCACAGGTCTTGGCATCATCCGCCCATTGAGGAGATATCTATGCCCGTACACCCTCTGTCACCCAAACGTCAGCCCCCTGACCCAACTCTTCTTCATCCTCCTTGCCCTCACTGGCACACACAGTATTCGGCACCCCTGGTCTCACAGCAACAGAGCCGGACAACAGCAAACAATCAAATGTTGACGCGCCGACCAGTAGTACGGGTCGTCCACGTGGAAGTACTCGATGGGCTCTGAGTAGAAGGCAGGGTCCACACCGCCCCAAAAGACGGCGTTGCCTGCCTGGGAGCTCCAAGGCAAGAAGGCCGCGCCCCAGGAATCACAAGGCTGGCGATCGTCTGCATGTAATATGGATCGCATCACTTCGTGCATCGCGCGCATCGATACGTGACGCGCAACAAGATTTGAGCTTTCGCGCAACCTCCCTTGGGGCAGGGCAACTGATCTGGCCCAGGCCGCGACGCGCGAAGAGCGATCATCTTCGTGTCCCCACGCAGGACCTAGATGTCTGGCATTGGCTTGCTCGCACATGCTTCGGTGTCTGCATGCACGTTGGGACCATCGTGAGAGCCACAATTCCTTCTCACACGGTGCACGATGCTGACAAGCACTCGCCATTGCTGTCACTGTCGCCGTGGCCAACGCCCTAGTCGTGGTGGTGGGTGTTATTTGCTGCCGCTGTTGCTGTTGCTGCCCTTGTTGCTGTGCGCCGCTGTTGGTATATACGTACTCTTTCTGTCGCTGCAACTGTCACGGTGGCGAGACATCAGATGCCAGGCCTCAAAGATGGCTGAGGCGTGTAAGCAAGATCAGACCACCACTGTAGACAAATGAGGGGGCAGCCGTCGGCAGTCACGGAGCAGACAACGCTACTCTGCGCGAGCGTGCATCGCTCGAGAAATGGACGAGCGTGAGGATCGGCAGTGCTGGTCAATCAGTCTCGACATCCTTATCTTGCTCGTCATTGTCCTCCGCCTTAGCATCCTCCCCGTCCGATCTATATTCGACCAGCCGCAACTGGGGGGACTGTGTCCCTGACCACCTGGGAGGAACCCATCGTTCCCGCGACTCCTCGAGAGGGCGGCCGAATATCGTCTTACCCTCCCATGGAGGGAAGTCGTATCGTCGGAACCCCCTCTGTGGCTGGCATGGGAGTGCGCCTTCGACTCCCGGCTGAAGTAGAAGGAGAACTCGCTCTTGCTAAGGGTCTTCTGCTTCACTACGTTGTCAAAGAAGGGCGTCACACCTCGAGCGGCTTTTAGAAGGACGCAGGGGCAACCGGCCCTGCCCGGCCGACGATGACGACGACCATCACGCCTCGCGATGGCGACGTCCTGGCCGGGCGTTCCTGTCGGGCGCCTCCGGCGGGGCACCTCCCTGGCTGGGGCGTCCGAGAGCAAGCACAGCCCACGCTTCTGTGGCACTGTGGCCCGTACAGTGCCGTTTTTAATACATGCTCCGCGTGCGGATCATGTATTAAACATGCAGGGATGTAGTACTAAAAGCAACGATGAGTTCATGCAAACTAATCACGTATTAGACATCCTATATTTTTAAAAATCCTATGCATTAAAAACTGCCCTGTAGCGTCAGCAGCGGCAGGCGGCGCCGCGATCTCGTGGGGCGGCACGGGCTGTGCCCGCCTGTCCGCCAGACGTCGGAAGCCTGGGCCCTGGTCCGTGCTCGACCCGGGGCCGGCCCTGCGGACGGGAGTGCAGCACCGCGGGGGGCGGAAGCGCATGACAACAGGGGAGATGCGGAAGGCGGAGATGGGGAGGGCGGAAGTGGAAGGGAAGAATTGATAATTGGAAGGGAAGAATTGAGGGGATCAGAATAGATCTCGCCTCGTTGTTTGGCCACCTCCGAGCTTTTATATAAAAGCTCGGAGGTCCGCCCGGATTCCTCGGATCGGCGCTGGGGCCCCCTGGCGGCGCCTCCGGCGCCGCCCCTGGCGCGCTCCGCGCGCCAGGGAGGGGGGTCCAGCGCCGATCCGAGGAATCCGCGCGGACCTCCGAGTTTTTATGTTTATGCCATTTTTTGTTCCCCTAGACAAGGTGGCCAAACAACGAGGCGAGATCTAGTCTGATCCCCTCCTGTCCCACTCTCCTCACCCTCTCAATTCTTCCCTTCCACTTCCGCCCTCCCCATCTCCTCCTTCCGCATCTCCTTCCATCTGTCCCTGGTTCCTCCTGGGTAGACGGGTTTCAATGCAAAGACGAGGGACATGGACTGACGTACCGGGTAGGAAAAAAACGTCTGAGCGATTGCCCCTTGCTCAATCTTCTGGGAATTTGGAAGAAGAGGTCGGAGAGGAGAGGTGAGAAGCAGAGACAAGCTTGGTCGGCGGTGAGGCAAGGACGGAAAAAGAGAAGAAAGGAAGTGGTGACGAGTCGGAAGGGGAGAAAGCGGAGGAGCAGGCTGATGAGGGCAACGAGTGCCGAAGCAGCCCGATTGTCATGGCAAAGTCCGCAGGGCGGTAGGCAGTCTCAGGAGTTCACCGAGCTCGAAGAGGATCGGGAAGGGGGAGGGGGAGGAAGACGGGGATGGGAGCGGAGGGGAGGGAGATGGGGAGGATCAGTGTGAGACCGAGGGGTGAGGGAGGGAGACGGGGAGGGCCAGCTGCATCATGGACATCGGCCGCAGTTGGAGGAAGGTCGTCGCTCCACTGCGATCGCTTGGAGGCCGACGCAACACATGTGTAAGGTGCCATTCGGACGGCGGCGCTCCATGCGCACGCCGTTCGTCTGCCACTCGGACACTTTCGTGAAGCGGCTCTCTCCAAAGAAGAGCCTCCGTAAGACAGAGCTGGGCAGGAGGGGGAAACATTCGAAGGGCAGGGCGAGGGAAGCGGGGAGAGGACAAAAAAAAACATGAAACACATCCGCCGGTCCGGCGTGTGAGTTTGGGGGGGTGCTGGGGTGGCTCTGCCGGGGAAGGGCCAGGGGGGAGGGGCTGCCCCCATTCAGGTTTGGAGGGAGTTAGGGCGCTCATTGCCGAATGATCCAGGCAATGTGAACGCGCGTCTGGCCGTACTTTCTCCCTTGCTCCAACTCAGAAGATTGTGACACTGGTGACCCAGGGCGTGCTTGATACGACGAGCGACATGTTTGTTGACCTGGGCTGTCTTGTTTACCGTGGCCGCTTAGGCTTTCGCAGGCGATAGACAAGAGGGCGCGGCGCGGAGCGGATGAGAGACTGCGGGGACAGGAAAGAGAGAGGACGGGACGGCAGAGAGGGGGGGGGGAAACAGGAAGAAAGAGAGAGAGAGAGAGAGAGACAGAGAGACGGAGGGGGAGGGATGGAGAACACGAAGACGGGGAAGGGAAGGGGATGGGGAGGCACCATTGGCCGACATGCTCGGGAATCCGAGCCCCAAGATGCCCTCGAAGGGCACCTCCTCGAAAACCTTGCCGTCCTGGACCTGGGCTCCCGAGGCCACTCAGCGGCAGTCAGGGGGACAGCAGGCCGGACGAGGATGCAGGAGTGGGAGGGAGGAGGAGGGGGGAGCTAAGGTCAGGCACATGATCATCAGTTCGAGTATGTGGTCAAGACATATTGAGCCGTATCGAAGGGTGGCGCCAAAAAAGTCGTCCGGTCCTTTGGGCTAACGTGGTCTAGAGCGTTTCCTCCTCCAAAGCCCTCCTTCCCCGTCGGGGAAGGGTTTCTCACTGGTCTTCATCCGTGTATATATATATATATATAGATACCCTCATGTGCACAAACATCTGTTAATAGACACCCCCTCCCCAACCCGACTGGCGAGGAACCAGGGACCATGCCCCACCCCCGCCCTCTCTGTCTCAAAATATACAATGCGCACATTGTGGCGAAATCTTCGGGGTCCCCGCAAACACTTTGTATTTTTGTTGTTGCCGGGGCTGGCGGGGGGGGCCAGCGTATGGCCTGCTGTGCGCAGGACCACCATCCCTGTCAACAAGAAACATGCTAACTGCACTTCGCGGCTAATTCTGGGTCATGCGTGGGCACCGGTCACTTTCCATGATTTCCGATAGGGACGGCGGGGGTGCTGCCACATTGCCGCTGTCTGCAGGTCTACCAGACATCCTGATGACCACTCCGCCGCGACTGCGCAGTGGTTTTCGACAAGGATGGTGGGGGCCGACGTGGCGCAACTCGCCCCAGCGTCGCGCACCAGTTCCCAGTAGCTGCCCATCCAAAAACGGCCGCTGAGTATGCCAAGACTCGGGTACCACTTATGTGTTGGGAAGGCGGGTTGGGAGTGAGACAAACATTTTGCGACTGGGGGGAACGTCTTGGCCCCTCGCCCTACCCCCACACTTGGGTCTGGTCGGAGGGTTTCGCGAGCGGTCAGAGCTCCCAAGATGGCTCCGCGATGGCCTCACAGGGGCCAATATGGCGCCCACAAATATCTCAGGATGGCTCCAGACGGCCTCCAAGATGACTTCCAGAGATCCCAGGACACCCCGCACGACGGCTCCGGGTTGCCGAGGAGCCTTTAACGCAAGTCCTCAAGATGCCAGCGTCCTTCGAGCACCTAGGGAAACCAAATGATGTCTGCATTCTCGTCTTTTCGATTCGGATATCCCTGAGACGTGCAAATTGCTACAGCATTTCCCAAGAAAGCCCAAACAGAGCTCAAACATTTTTCGGGCTCTAGATGGGCGGCGTTGTTGTTAGGCCCCCCCCCTCTTTTTATCAACAAATGAACTGGAATACACAATGTTTCGAATGCTGATGGCATCTTAGGAACATATGTGAGAAACTGCTGGCTCAAGCCGGCTCCAACATGGCCCATGCAAACGCCTCACACATATGCCAACATGTCCCAAGATGGCTCCAGATGGTCTCCAAGATGGCTCCAAGAGGACTCACGCCCGAAGACGGCCCCGAGTGGCCGAGGAGTCTTACAAGGATGCCCCATGTTGGCACACCTGATGCTGCCATTTTCCGATTGGTCTCTGAGGCGTGCCTATTGCTCTAAACTGACCTAGGATAGCCCCAATATGGGGTCCACTATGGCTCCAAGAAGGCCCCAATGCCAACCCAATAAGACCCCATCAGCACCCCAAGAGGCGACGTTTCGGGCTCCAAAGGGGCGGCGTTGTTAGTCGTTTCCCGCCTTGCTGAATTAAATCGTTGCAGCGTGTCATGGTTTGAACGATGTGTCCGTCTCGGGGGCATCGATGAGTCTGGTGGCCCAATCTGGCACCACGATTGTCCACGAATATCGAAGATGGACTCAGCTATTGGTCAGTGCATCTCAAGATTGCTATAGATGCATGGCATCAACTCTTGCTCCATAAACTCTAAGACTCCCAAAGACGGGTTCAAGTGGCCACGGAATCTTCCAAGGATGCCGCCTAGAGACCACATACCGCGCAAACTACAGGGGAAGCAAATGGTAATTGCGTTATCGCCCCTTCGTCTCCGAGGCGCCACGTTGGCTGTAACATTAGTTATCCGAGACTGTCCCAACAGATGACCAATATCTCCGAAGCGGCCCCGGGCCCAAGAAACCCCAAGAGGGGCCAGATGTGGTGCCAATGCGGCCCCAAGAACGCCCAAGGAGGGCCCCAAGAGGTGACCCGTCGAACTCCAGACGGGCAAATCGAAATGCGAACCTCCCTATAGTTGATCGATGACTTCCTAGATGATACCAAGAAGACCTCCAACAATACCGAAAGTGAGCCCCAAGAGGGCCCCACGAGAGCCACAGATGCATCTAAACTTGCTCCACGAGGGTCCCACTATGGCCAAAGTCAGCTGCTAGAAAGATCCCATATCGAAAGGCCGGCGAATGCATGTATGGTTGACTCCTGGGTCTCCTGATGCTGACCCCGAGCTTCGAATTGACGACTGGACCCCACTTGTTCCACAACTCCCTCCTCCGATCAAAACAACGTTTTACGACGACATGAGAGCGAAAGACGGGAATGTAGTGCCCTTTGCGTGATGGCAATCACGAGCGAAGTCAAAATGAGGCGCCGCGTACACGACACTGAAATCTTGACTGAGACATGCCCACGGCTGCGGGTACAATATTGTCCGTCGCTCCTGTGGGAACTACCGCATATTGCAGAAAGGCCTGGCGCTGCAGGTGCTGCTGCCGGGGTCAATCAAGCGTGCATACTCGGGAGGAGACCCTAGCCGCCTGGCGGCAACGGGGGGTCCCCCCGTCTCCCTGGACTCCTATCTGGGCAGACATCGTTGCTGGAAAGGCTGGTGGAGATAAGCGAAGCGTCTAGAATTCGAAAACGAGACAACTACGAAGGTGCACACATTTCTAATTAGAAGCGGCGGTCTTCGTGGAAGATCATCAGCAACAGGTGAGCCAGAGGAACGCTGGCCTGCACTTCCTGGCCTGCTGGAAAGCCAAGGCGGCAATCGTGTGGGCTGGCCCAATCTTCGATTTGACTGGTCCCCCTCGCTGTTTCTCGCACGATCCACCCCTGTCCTGCTCCCGGCAACTCGCCTGGAAGTCGTCTCTGGATGGGATTGCTTGGGCATGCGAGGGGTTAACAAGTGGACTTTCCGTCTGCTTCGCCGGGGTTTCCGCGCCTTGCTCATGGAATGTGGGTGAATGCGCTGTTGTAGCCCATGGCGGGACGTCGCATAATTGCGGAGTGGCTCCGCCAACATGGCCGGTGCCTCAAGGCTGACATGCCTGCTAGTCGTTCGACTTCCTTCGCCTTCAACTTGGGACAACGCATTCAAGCAACGTATCTGTCAATGGTCCAGTGGTGCTTCTAATCCTCTATCACCGCATCGACATCACGTTTCGTTTTGCTGGGCAGCCCTCCCAGTGTGCAGTGCAGAGTTCAACGCGATGCTTGCTATGCACATTTGGAATGTCTAGAGCGCTGAGCTTGAATGATACGCTGCACACACACACACACGTCAAAGTATTTCACAAGATCCCAGCAACTAGAACTCTTGTCGTTTTACTGAATGTGTTGAGGCGTCGTGTCAGCTGACTGACTCGAATTGTTGAGGATTTCTATCTGGCTCCGGTTCTTTGCATAGCCTTGGCGATCGCGATATAATGCGTCATGGGTATGATTGACCTCTGCACTGACCATTTACTAGAGACCTCCTAGATGGGGTCGACGCAGATGGGGTCGGAAGAGCACGCCGCATCGCCGATACATCGGCGATACATCGCCGATGCATCGGCGATGCTTCGGCGACATCGGCGATACCATGGCGACACCAGCGTGGAGAACATCGGGCTCCGCACCAAGCCGCATCGCCGATGCATCGACGATGCGGCGCGTTCCTCCGACCCCATCTACTCGGATCCCATCAATCTAGGAAGCCTAGAACTACACTGCCTTGGATCGATCTTGTTACCACGTACCCGCGGGATCGAGCCTCCGGTTCTTCATCTCTCAGGCTCTCGCTTCTCGCTGATCATCGCACATCACTTGTATTCGAATCTTTGGACCACATGCCCACACAACGGCCTCTGGCCAACGCTTCTTCGACGCGTCGTGCTTCTCTTCTACATTCATCCCCGGCTTGCCCGCACATGCCTTCACCGGGCAACCGCGCGCTGCTCCCAACTCCTCTCTCCTCGCTCCGAGTTGTTGCTCTTCTCGCCTCCCCGCGTGACGTCCCTGGGCTTCGGCACCTCTGCGTGGGGCCGCAGACCAGGTCCTCGACCCATTTTGGAGGAAACTGGGGGAATGACCTCTGACTGTGTACTTCCTACGCTTCTTCGCAGCACCCCCCTCGTGCAGCACTGTTCTGAGGTCTTGCCATCGGCGCACGTGCATGTTTCGTGTCCGTGGCCGCGCTTCAAGTCCACCCTCGAGGCAACCCTTTTGGAAGGACTGCGTCGCCAGACTTTTCGCGCGACGCCCTGCGGCCGTCGGACAATGCCTTGCCTCTTGAATGCACACCGTGACCAGAGACTACGTTGAACCAGCGGGATGATCGCAACGTCCCGTTGGCAACCACTGCGCTTGACCTCGCACCGCGCCGCTAGAAAGGAAAGACATCGGCATGTACAATTCCATCGCATGCTGGAAAGCTTGCCACCCAGATCCTCCTAATACAGACGATATCGAGGCAACGATGAATGCCATTTGCTGCTTGCAGCGTCGCCACTGACACATGCTTGCGAATGGCATGCTTGAAACGCAACACCGATTGCTGCATGTGTTCGTGCACCCGGCCAAAATTATAGTTTCAACGCGGCTGCCCTCCTTGTGGCTTCAGATCTTCCGTCATGTGATGCCAAGTGGCCGACCCTTCCGCTTCCCTACGCGCCGAGCACTTGTAGCGGGTCCTTCCTTGAGAGCGGTACTGTCACCATCCCGCAGCGTGGCCGAAGGGGGGCGGTCCTCGGAGTCCTAGCGCAGCAACTGGTGCCGCACCGTGGGGGCGAGACCTCTTGCCTCGTGCAGCTCCAGCGGTCGACCGCCGAGACGCAGGGAC